ACACCTGAATCCTGTGGAAGTCATTCCAAATGCCTTGCCTGTTCAGTTAACATAAATCTGCCTAGGCTTTGAAGATAAATGCATTTGCTTTCTGATGAGATAGGAGAAGAATATTTAAGTTGTCACAGTTCTATTTTAGACCCTGAAGGACTAGGAAATGATGCAGTCATCATGCAATGACAGGTGAAAAGGACACGATGCATTTCCAAGAACCATGTAATAGACAGAAATTGGCCCTAGAATCAAATAGTCTGAGTTCAAATCCTGCCTTTGTTTCTTACAAACTCTGTGTTCTTGAGAAAATTGTTTAATCTTTCTGAAACTCAGATATTTTCCTTTGAAAATGGGAACAATAGTTGGCCAACTTACCATACAAGGATGTTCTAAAGATCAAATGACTTACTTTGTATGAAATGGCTTATTGAGCTATAAAGAGCTTTATAAACTTAAGTGAAATATGCCTAGCTCTTGTGCCCAGCTGCTGTAGTCTTACCAGCTATGGCTCCCTGTGCTTAGGCAATGACTGTCAGTGTGGTTAGTGCTAGAACAGGCCTTAAAGCTGATGGATTCATTTAATAGGGCTCTCATAACAAAGTGCCACAACTGAGTGACTTAAACAACAGAAATTTATTGTCTCAAAGTTCTGAAGGGGAGAAGTCCAAGATCAAGGTGTTTGCAGCCTTGGCTCCTTCTGAGAGCTGCAAAAGGAACCTGCTTCATGCCTCTCCCCTGGCTTTTGATGGTTTGCTGGCAATCTGTGGTGTTGCTTGGCTTCTTGAAGCATCACCCTGATCTCTGCTCTCATCTTCACATGCTATTATTCCTGCATGTGTCTCTATGTCCAAATTTCCCCTTTTTTATAAGAACACCAGTCACAATGGGGATGGGACCACTCTAATGACCTCAGGAAACAACTCAATTCCAAATAAGGTGATGCTCTGAGGTTCTGGAGTTAGAATGTCAATGTATTAATTTTGTGGGGGACACGATTTGACCCATAACACGGATGTGCCCAGAATCCCTTACTTAATCTGATTACTCAGAGTCAAAGGTTGTTTCTGGGTTAACCTAGCTCATCTTTCCTGAGGGTTTTATCTCTCTTCTAGCCCACAGCCAGTAGGCCTCTGCGATGCCTTCCCTTTGGTTCTCAGTTATCTCTTCCAAAGTGGAATTCAGATTGGCGTGGTCTGCCCTAGAGGGGATGGAGATTTTTAGCACTCATGTTGTTCAGAACTGCTGGTGCCAGGCAATTATAAAAAGCAGATTAATATCTTAGTTGGTTTTATTTTTGGTGTTAAATTCTCTACAGACAATACATTGCTTTATTGCCAGCATCCAGTGCAGATTGCTCTCACTGCCCTGCCCTTGATAAGCCATTGTCTGACCTGCCCCTAGAGATCTCAGCTCCCAGTGGGAACAGCACACATTATTTCCCAAGGATCTTCAATCCCTATGCAAATATAATTTCACGAAGCTCATTCACAAATGAGCAAACATGCCCAGATAAGCTTGTTATGAAAAAATTATTCAAAAACTTGCATAAAGGCCAAAAGAATGTAGCACAGCTTCTCAAAGACAAGCTGGGGTACAATTTAACAAGCCCACCCAAGGATTACTGAACTGTCTTTGGGAGTATATTGTTTATGACTCAGCTGTTTATTATTAATTAAGACTCCAATTCTGTGAAGTTACATGTTAACCTGCAGATCTTGTCCAGCGATGCGAATAATTTTGTGCACTATAAAAGATAACTTCTTAAGCCATTAACCTAGTACTCTTATTCTTTCTTCCTTAAATGTCCATAAAGTAAGTCCAGTTCCTTGAAATATTATTTTAATCAAATTTACTATCTATAGGGTTCTGTCATTCATGAGTTAACACGTCTTCATCACCTGTCAAAATGCACCAATCAGCAGTAGGTTATGGCTCAAGCTGCATCCCAATTTTTATAGTGTGTGGCTTATTTTCACTGTAATTCTCAGTGTTCCAAAGTCTGGCTGATAGTGACACTGATATTTCTTGTGTGGAAACTTTTATTTATTTATTTATTTTTTAACCAATCCATTTTTTTAATTCTTAAATTCTTGACATTGCAGAACTAAACTGAAATTTATTAACATTCCACTCATATTTCTTATCGACAAACAAGAAATAAAATTCATGAGCCAAAAAACCCAAAACAAAACTAAAAACAGGGAAAAGCTTATAAAACTAAATATGGATCCCAGCATTAACAGCTGAACAGAGAATGTGATTTTTAATTTCTTAGCGGATGATAAAGTTGTGTAGAAATTGAACACTTACAAATTATTTAAAACCTGGAATCACTGACCAGAAATTACACAGTTGGATCATGGGAAAACAGCAGAAAGGGGTTATCGAGGGAACCTACACTGTTCCAGCTGCACCCCATGCCTTTCTCAGAGGAAAGCCTGGCTTTGATTAGATACTGGGCCAGACTAATACTGGCAGCAGAGCCAGTGATAGTAACCTGCCTACCAGAGGAGCCTTCCACTGGGTTGGCAATTTTGATCTGGGCCCCGGACATCTGGCGAATCTCATTAATGTTGGTGCCTTGGCGCCCGATTATGCAGCCAATTAAGTTATTTGGAATGGTGAGTTCATGGGTGATTTGAGTAGATGCATCCAAACTTGCCCAATAGCCTTTCACCTCTGGAGAGCTGGAGTCAATTCCGGCAAATCCGGTCCCGCCGTGCATCATGGCAAAGTGAGACTGTTGTCTTGCCACCTGGTTCAGCTTGGCCAGATTGAGCGGAGAAATGGTGTGTTGTCCTTGAATCGAGTAGGCATCTAGAGGTGGTCCCTCCAAGTCATGGGTGGCGTGGGGGTAGCCCGCAGCGTCGCTGCACCGATCTTGACCGCCGGCGCAGGTGACTGGGGAGCGGGACGGCATGGGCTGGTACAGAATGGTCTTGACTTTCCCTTGCGGAGAGTGGGAGAGCGTCTCCAGCATGACCAGGCATATCTGCTTGACACACTTGGTAACAGACTGAGGCACGCCAGCGATGGTGATGGCCCGCTCGGTGGAGTTGGGCAGCATATCCCCCGCCACCTGGACCTGCGCCCCCGTACTCTTGCGGATCTCTTTGATCTTACACCCGCCTTTCCCAATCAGGGAGCCGCACTGGGTGGCCGGCACCACCAGTCTCAGGGTGACCAGCCTGCTGGCCGCGGTACTCTTGGTCATGGAGCTGTTGATATCTTCCTCCAGCTTGTAGATGATCATAGCGAAAGCCTTAAAGATGGCATTGGTGGGGCCGGTCAGAGTGATGATTCTCTCCGGACAATTCCCCTCCAAGATTTTGATCCGCGCTCCACTCTCCTTGCGGATCCTCTTAACCGACTCCCCTTTCTTTCCAATGATGCTTCCTACTTCCTTTCCGTGCATAAGAAGCCGAATGGTGAGAGTCACGTTTAGTCCACTTTCAGTCACACCGGCATCCATGGCGAGCGGCGGGCGGCGTTCGGGGGAGTTGGGCTCGTTACGTGGCCAAGTCTTTGGCGGCTGGCGGGGGGAGGGGAGGTGTAGACCCAAAACTGCCGGCACGAGGCGAGCGAGGGCCGCGGGAGTTAGCGGGAGCGGGGCCGCAGCGTAGTCTCAGGGGCGCGCAGCGGTGGCGGAGGGGGCGAGCGGGGCTGGGAGCGGCGGGCTGGCGGGTGGGCGAGGGCGTGGCGGTGGCGACTCCGGCGGCAGCCTAGCCGAAACTTTTTTTAAATTTTAATAGATATATTTTTTCTTTTGGTGCCGAGACTGGGATTTTTTTTTTTTTTTTGGAGACTTGGTCTGTCACCCAGGCTGGAGAGCAGTGGCATAATCTTGGCTCACTGCAACCTCTACTTCCCAGGTTCAAGAGAGTCTCCTGCCTCAGCCTCCCGAGATTACAGGTGCACGCCACCACGCCCTGCTAATTTTTTGTATTTTTGGTAGAGACGGGGTTTCACCATGTTCGTCAGGCTGGTCATGAACTCCTGACCTCGTGATCCACCCACCTGGGCCTCCCAAAGTGCTGGAATTACAGGCATGAGCTGCCACACCTGGCCTGTGTGGATATCATTTCTACCTGTTCTTCCCTTTTCATTCTTGCCCTTGTTAAAGCCTCCTCTACTCACTGCTACGCATTTTTTTTTCTTAATCTGAGAAAGAGGACTAGAAGGAGGAGGAGAAAAAGTTTTCTTCATGCATGTACAAGAAGCATTTAAAAGTTAACTTTTGAGTAGAAATTACTAGAAATTCAGCTGTACTATATACTTGCAGCACAACCAGACCTAATGCGGATGCCTGAACAGAGAGGGGTCATTAGCTCTCACTGGTAAAAAACAAACAAAAAAACAAAAAAAAAGTCAGAAAAGATATGAACTGGGAGGGCTCTGTCACTGAAAATTCATTCTCTCTAAGACTTATTCTGGGATTCCTAAGTATGCAACTTTTTGTTTTTTCAAAACCTAGCCAACAGAAGATTATGAGGAAGGATGGCAAATTCCCTGTTTCACTAAAATTAAAATTTCTTTTTAGAGCCCCAAAGTTGGTCACTGCTGTGTGCATTTCCAGGTTTTGGTTATGTAAAACGATGTTAAAATGGGCAGAGACCCTTATGCAGTAGATATCAGCTATTTAATGGAGTTGCAAAGCAGATCGCCTGTTTTTCAAAGACAAGAATTAAAAGTCAATTAATCCCCTGCCCTTTATCAGGAATATAAAAGAGTCTAGATAGGTAGAAAGGAAGGGAGTACTTATGACAAGGATTTCTTTGAAGAGAGCTCTGCTGTGAGTCCCACCCACCATCCCTTTCCCAAAAAGAGGGACAGGAATGTTCCTCAGAGAGCTTGTCTTATGTCCTTTGAACTGAGGGGACACAGTGGTTCTTGGATGTAAAAGATTAGATTATTAAAAAAAAAAATCAGTCCTTCTCTCCATCTCTATGGGCGTACAGATGCTGTAATAACCTATCCTGGGCTAGCATCACTGACTCCATCTTAGCTGTAAACTCCAACCTAGCTTCCCCCTCCTGACCACAGCCCCTTTGCGTGCATAACTGGGCCACACTGATGCTGTGTTATGTCACACTGACTCGGTGCTTATCCTACCATATAACCAATGTAACTACATCCTGCTTGGCAAGCACACCTGCTATTGTGTATAATTCCTTGAACTCCCCCCTTGGTGATTGTTTGGAAATACCCTTAGCAACCAACAACTCTGGGAACATCTTTCCCCCTGGTTACTAGCCAACTTGCCTGTTCTGCTTCTATAAAATTCCGCTAGGTACCCCCGCCCATACTTAAGTCAAGGTATAAAGGGAAATCAAACCCCTTCTTTGGGGCCGAGAGAACTTTGAGCATTAGCTGCCTCTTGGTCGCCGGCCAATCAATAAAGGACTCTTAATTTGGAACTCAGAGCGTGGTGCATTCCAACTTGCTCGGTTATTATAATGCCATGTGACTTGATTTGCCAGTGGGATCATAGTAGATGTAATTCAAGTAGGGGGCTTGGAATGCACTTTCGGGATGAGTATGACCTCTGAGCCTGTGCCTCTGCGGTTGTCATGAGAAGAACATGTCTAGCTGGACCCCCAGTCCAAGGAGAATGACAGACTCTCAGAATAGATCTGCTGTTCCAACCAGCCCACAGGTATGAGAATATTCTATTATTATTTTAGCCCACTGAGACTTGCGGGGGTGGGGGGTGGTTATTACGTAGCACCATTGTGCTCATAGCTGACGAATATTGTTGGCTAACTGCTCTGGTGGCAGAGAAAAGGAGAGTTGCTATTTGCTGCACTGGAATCACCCCTCGCTCTGAGTTTGTCCACGCAAAGAGATGCCGGAGTGTTTCCTGTAGATCAGATGTGTGCTCTGTGCTGGAAAGAGACTTAGCATGGGGGCTAGCAAGCATCGCTGATAGATTTGGCTGGGAAAGAGGCAATGGGCTCTTATTTGATTTAAACAGTTGATTACTCACATAGACAGCAAAAGCAAGAGTACCAGCCCTTTGGGTCTTTTGTTCCACAGGACAGTACCAGAACAAAAGGGGCAGGATGACTGCAATGCGAATGGTGGAACATCCTGTTGCTGAAGAGCAGATGCCATGCTGAAGCAAGCAGTATTATAGTCTGCAGCTGCACCCTAAGTGGGAGTGAGGCAGAGAGCCTCCTGCCTGATTAGAATCCAGGAGGCAATAAGGATCTGTCTCCTGACAGCCTTTTAGGAAGATAGGGAGGCAAGTGAAAGATGGCCTTGTAGTAAGTAGCTCCTTCCACACTCTATATTATCATTAGTCTCCTGCTCACAACTCTGTTTGAATGTACTGCTACCAGAGTATCTCCAGATTCCAAAATTGCAAGCAAATTTTCAAGTGCCAAGATGAAATCAACCACAGTAACAAAAATATACTAGCTTCATTTATTATTACCCAGATTATCAAAGATCTTTTTTAAGGTGTAGCCACTGATGCAAGTAATCATGATACAGAAAAAAACACCACTTTGTGCAAATTTTTTTTGCTACTTTAAAAAAGCTTACTTATACGACTACTGTGAATAAAAGCCCTTCCAGATGAGAACTCAAAAATAACGGCAAATTTTTGCAGAGACTCTCTGGTTGAGTTAGAACTTAATGAGAAAAATTTCACTGCTTTTGGGGAAAGCAATACAAATACAAATTTTAGTGAATTTGCTTATGCATCTTTATAGATATGGACAATACTTAATAAATGTTGAAGCAAAGCATGAATGATTCTATGGAAAGTGTTGGCTGTCCTGTTCATCTTCTGCATAAGCTGCTCACACAGCATCTGATGTTCTTTCTACTGACACTGAAGTAATTGTCATGAAATTCTTGTATGTTGGCTTTTATATTGTTTGTGCAATTAAAGAATTTTTGTATTTGGCATTTGGTATTCTTCAATTCTCTTGCATTCCAAAGCCCATTGAATTTCTTCAGTTGAGAATACAGTTGAGAGACTTCTTAGTTCATTTGAAACACTGAACTTATATTTTAATTCTGATTAAAAGGTCCCCAAATTTTAAGTAATCTATTGAATGAAAGCCTATTTTTTATTTCTTATCACTTGTAGTTTTCAGTATCTCTTCAGAAATATGGTTATGCAAATTGAAAGAAAACTGAACAGTATTATTGCAGATTGTTTCTTGAAGAAAGCTGTGGAATGTGTTAGAGAAAGAAATGATAGAAAATTTTTTATCCCTTTAAGTGTCATGGCTGTTCTTCAAAGGACAAATTTACTATGACCAGGAAAATACATTCCAAACTGAAGTGGATAATTATTATATCACTTGTCATGACTGTTTTGTTATGGATGGATTTTTATCCCTTGAAGAATTTAATTGTTTTATAGGGGTGTTACTAAATACTCTTTCAGCATCTGTAGTGTTGAAGAAGAAAGGATTTAAAATTGACGACCGTGCTTCCTTTTTTGTTTCACTATTAAAAAATTGTGGATCAAGAGATTTAATATAATGCAGAAGAATGGGAAAGCAAGTTATGTCATGAAAGATGGCATTATGCATGGCAACAAGTAAAATTTAAAGAGCCATTTTTAGAGTTGTTAACTTTATGCCAGTATGTGTTCAATATATCAGCTCATAATGTTTGTATTGAGAGTGGCTTCTCATTGATGACTGTTCAGTGAACCAAAGAACACTATGAGTTGGATGTCACCCCTGTTGAAGAGATGTTACAATGTAATGGGAACATAGACAGCAACCGCAAGAAATTTAGTAAGGAAATTCTGCAAAACAAGCGGCTGCTGGGGCATCCAAATCATGAAGGAAATAAAGTTTTTAAGAGGCACCTCATTTAGATTTTTATCAGCAATTTCAGATAAACATCAGGTAATGTTAAGTATAATATTATCATGTAGCAGGAAAGGCCACAAAGCCTCTTGAACACCAAACTGGGAAGGAAGGGGTGATTTATTCGGCCAGGAGCAGCTGCGGCATAGTTGCCTAACAGCCGAGCTCCCCAGTAAAGAAAATCCTTGCCCTTTTAAAGGCTTACAACTTTAGAAATTACATGTGAAAGCATCTTGATCCATGAAGTAGGCGTGGGGTATGTGACTTAGGCGGGGGTGTGATCTTGTTTAAGTAAAAACAATGCCTTCCGGAAAGATTCCTGTGATCTATAGGAGTGCGATTAAGGGTGGCACCTGGGTCTGCCAGCCTTTCCTTCTATTGAAATGCAATGTAGAAGTCTAGGGGGAAGGGCTCGTAAGAAGCTTAAGAGGATTAGGGGCCTCCTTCCTCAGTCATTTCTAATGCTTTTTGAAATTTCAATCTACAATGCATAAGCAATTCAAAATAACTTAAATGTACCTGAGTGTCTCATATTTTTGTTTGTGTAATCTGCCAAACCTAGCTAGGGGTCAAGTGAAAGGTGATCCAGGACCTTCCAAAGCTAATTGACTTAGGAACCAACCTTTCACACAAGCAGACCATGAACTAAAAAGGAAAATATCCATGGTAAATATAGGTTCCTCAGGTAGAGCCTAGAATTCTAGAGACTGCCTAAAACCAAGAAAAGAAATCCCATCACTAATTCAACCCTGCTTCAAGAGCGTAACAGCTGGAAAGCTGCACTTCTGTTGTACAAATCCACTTGTTGTACAAATCTCTCAATACTTTGACAGTTGTTATTAAAATGACAGTTTACATAAAAGTCACTTGTGGTTCTTGCCAACTGTAGACAAAACTAACTCTGACCCCTTGAAGATGCTTCCCTCAGAGGAGTTTGATTTGTTGGAGCAGCGCAGAATGTGTAATCCATCTGCCCAAGGCCGGCGGATCCCTGGGGGCGACTAGAAGACTCTCCATTCCATTCTTAGTGTTTCTTAAGTAGCAGCAGCACTTCCATTAACATATTCCCTAGTTAGAAGGTAAACTTCATTCATACAAATATTCTCAGGGGTTTTTCTTTCTAAAACACTTCTTGTAACGGCCTCTCCAAAAATTTACATTTTCTGTCCTTCTTTTCTTTTTCTTTTGAGACTGTGTCTCACTGTTGGGCTGGAGTGAAGGGGCTCACTGCAATCTCCATCTCCTGGGTTCAAGCGATTTTCCTTCCTCGGCCTCCTGAGTAGCTGGGACTATAGACGCGCACCACCACTCCAGGCTAATTTTTGTATTTTTAGTAGAGATGGGGTTTCACATTATTGGCCGGGCTGGTCTTGAACTCCTAACCTCAGGTGATTCACTAGCCTTGGCCTTCCAAAGTGCCGCGATTACAGGCGAGAGCCACCGCGTCCGATCCCTTGTTTTCATTTTACACGTTTTTTTTTTTTTTAAGACGGAGTTTCGCTCTTGTTACCCAGGCTGGAGTGCAATGGCGCGATCTCAGCTCACCGCAACCTCCGCCTCCTGGGCTCAGGCAATTCTCCTGCTTCAGCCTCCTGAGTAGCCGGGATTACAGGCACGCGCCACCATGCCCAGCTAATTTTTTTGTATTTTTAGTAGAGACGGGGTTTCACCATGTTGACCAGGATGGTCTCCATCTCTTGACCTTGTGATCCACCCGCCTCGGCCTCCCAAAGTGCTGGGATTACAGGCGTGAGCCACTGCGCCCGGCCTCATTTTACACCTTTACACTGAGAAGCATGTTGCTGTGTCCAGCCCTTTAAAAAAAATTTTTTTTTAATTTTTATTTTTTTGAGACAGAGTCTCTCTCTCTCACCGAGGCTGGAGTGCAGTGGTGCAATCTTGGCTCACTGCAACCTCCGCCTCCCAGGTTCAAGCAATTTTCTTGCCTAAGCCTCCTGAGTAGCTGGGACCACAGGTGGGTGCCACCACACCTGGCTAATTTTTGTGTTTTTGGAAGAGACGGGATTTCACCATATTGGCTCAGCTGCTCTTGAAATCCTGACCTCGTCATCCACCCACCTCAGCCTCCCAAAGTGCTGGGATTACAGGCATAAGCCACCTCCCCTGGCCTATCCAGCCCTTTTATAAGGGCTCTACTTCCATCCATGGTGGTGCATGAATGTAATTAGCTAAATCTGAAGGCCATTCTTTTGCTTATAGGTTACCTTTAGGGCAGGTGATGAGGAAAAGCAACAGCAGGTGGGATTCCTGGCAGAACTAAGCCAGCACTCCAGGTAGCAACCAGGCTTCAACAATGGGATGGTTACTGAGGAAGAATCTGAAATAGCACTAAGTCGGAGTCTAGAAGATGCTCTAGAAGCAACTCCCAACCTGAGTTCAGCTCCTTGAAATAATTCATGATGCACTTCTACTAAAACAACAAGAAAACAATAGAAAGCTTTGTTGGAAAAAGCAGTGGATTTATACGCTTATAGATTTATGTTATGATAGGTTTGAATTCAAGTTTTCACCGTAAAGAAATGAGCCTTTTTAAATTGGTTGCCTTTTCGGAAAAAAAAGAGGTGGCTGGTGGAATGCCTTTCTCACAATATTGTTGTAAAAGATTTAACACACAGCAGGCCTCCAATAAATATTATGTTTCCCTTCTTCATTTATTCATACTTCTATATAGTCATTCAATACACACATATTTACTGAGCATTCAGTATGCATCTGGTAGGTGCTGAAGATACAAGGAAGAACAAAACAGAAGCAAACCCTCCAAACCCAAGATTTTTTCCCTTATGGCACTTAAATTATAGGAGACAGACATTAATTAGACATGAAATAATTGTAACTGTGACAGAGGGTACTTAGGGCACTTCATAAAGCTATACTTATTAGGGGCGTCAGGGAAGCTTTCCCTCTGGAAATTAGAATTGAGTGTAGATCCAAAGGCTAAGTAAGAGATAACTGGGACCAGCATGTACAAAGTTGGGAGGGAGCATGGGGCATTCTAGGGAAGGAAAAAGACCAGCAAGGATAGAACAGTTTGGAAAGTATAAAGAAAAGCAGAGAGAGCTAGCATTCAAATTGATCTTATGTGCAAGACTGAAGTAGATGACATCACAACTCACCTCTCAGCCCTAAAATTCAGTGCATATAACTTCATGTTCCCCACACTGGTGATTTGTGGACTGACTCAGTGCATAGCCATAGATTAGATTTTCTTTAATGGCCGTTCAATTCAATTATTCATTGAGCAAAGTAACCAGATCATAAACAATTATTTCAGTCTTCTTAATAACACATTAGCTTGATTACAGCAATAATTGGGAAAGAAGACCCAGTTAATTGGCTTAGGGGAAAATGGGTTTCCCCGTATATACAGGGCTTAATGTAACCTAATATGGTTTGGTTAGACTCTAGCTGGAGATGGAAAGATGTGTTCATGACAAGCTAGTTTAGACTTTAAAATTATGTCTTTGTTTATGATCCTGTTGTACTGATCTCGTGTTGACCTGACATGACCTGATATATTATGCATGGCTTCTGGTAGCCAAGGATATGCCCATATATCTGTCAGAGAACCTTCATCAGCAGCTCAAACCTCAAGTGTTTAACAGAGCAAAATACTGTGCTTTGGTGAACAGTATTATGTGTCTTAGAAACTAAGACACATAAGAGATCATTTCTGAAGCGTTTATCCCCAAGTGCAGTTTAGTAGAGCAAGTATGAGATTTGGAATTACTCAATCTGGCATCTGAAGCCAAGCTTGGCTGTAAGCTGTGTGGTTTTGGCAAATGACCTAAGTCATCTGAATCCTCAGGCTTCTCATCTGTAAAATGGGGATTACAGTACTCATTCCTCAAGATCGAATGAGATCTGATACACAGGCTTATATTCAACAAATATCACATTCTTTCCTTCCTTTATAAGTTAGCTGAGGAGGCTGAACATGCACAATGAGAAAACTTACGTGCAAAAGAGAGAACTTCTTGCACAGGAGCTCCAAGTGCAAAAAGGAGCTCCGCAGATAATAGCAGTAGAGTCCAGTGGAGGGCGTGTCAGGACAGGA